TCCCTCCACGACGTCGTCCAGGGAGCCCGCGCTCGTGGTCAGGATGTTCTTCTTGTCGGCGACTTCAACATGGAGCCGAACGAGAACCCGTTCAGTAAGCTGGGGGAATTGTGGGCCGTCCCGGAGGGCAACCGTTGGGCGCCAACCCGTTGGGACAGCAAGCGATGTATCGATTACAGCATCTTCTTGGGCCAGCAGACAGCAAAGCCATTTGGACCAGTTTTTCGTGGCGGGCCAGTTTGGAGCCTGGCTGGGTGGCCAAGCCTACGGAGTCACTCGCCAGGCCTACTGACGTCTCTGCTGCCGTCTGGAAACAGGTTTTGGCACAGGAGTGGGCGCGAGAAGATGAAATACCTGAGGGCACCAGCGCTGACGAGTGGATGGCTTTCCACCGGACGGCTACGTCGGTTCATCATCGTGCGCTTCATCGTTGTGGGTGCGTGGCGACGGCCACGCGGCGCGGCATCCGTGACAAGGGCTCCGAGATCGTCGTGGACAGGCAGCAGGACAGAGGCCTGCGGCGCGAGCTGGACGCGACCATCGAGCTCCGCAGGTTGGCCAACTGGCTTGGCAGGCTAGCTGAGTTGCAACGTCAGCTGCAATCTGGACGTCGTGCTGATGACCTCTGGAGGCGGGTTAACCACAGTTGGCCTGAAGGTGTCCCTCGCGGTCGGGATCTGGCACGGGCGGAGGCGCGTGGGCTCGCCCTTCAGGCACAGCTTCGGCAAAGGCTTCGCTCGGTCAAGATCGGGCAGTGGCGGGACCGGATGAGCGCTAATGGCGGCTACGCTACGAGATGGCTCCATGGCAAGCTTGCGTCCGGGGGGCACACAAGCATCCTCAAGGCATCGGGGGACTACACTTCCACGATCCAGGAGGCCTTCGATGAGCTGGTTTCCTTTTGGGAACAGATCTGGCACCGCGAAGCGCAGTGCGAGGAGCTTGAGCGGCTCCGCACTGGCAACCTCACTCGGGAGCAGGCGCAGCCGGCACAGGACTGGCAGTTGCAGGCTTCGGACTTGCACGCGGCCGCTTCCGCCAAGCGCGATGGTGCGGCGGGGCCCGACGGATGGAGCTGCGCCGAAATTCATGCTTGGCCTGAGCACGCGTGGCACATCTACTTGGACATTTGGCAGCGATGGGCTTCGCGCGATCAGTGGCCGACACAGTTAAGCAGCTACAGACAGGTCTTTCTCCCGAAGGACCAGGGTGAGGGGGCCGACAGCTTTCGCCCGATATCCATTCAATCGGTGTTTAACAGAGTGATTGCCACGGCCATGGCTCGCAAGCCAGAGGTGCAACGCTGGATGCTACAGCTGGTCCACGAGGATGTGCACGGCGCGGTCGCTGGGAGAGGGGTTCACACGGCGGTGGTTCGGCTCATGGAGGCGTGGGAGGACCCCAATCCCGTTATCCATGGACATGCACAAGGGCTTCGACATGGCGCACCCGGCCCTGATGACGGGGCTACTGAGGCACCATGGCCTTCCGGAGCTTTGGACGAGGCACTTCGTTAATGCTTGGCACTGTCAGAAGAGATGGATGGAGCATGGTCGCTACATGAGGGAAAGGCCCGTCACGGTGACTACCGCGACTCCTCAAGGCGATCCGTTTGCTCGGTTAGCTTTCGTGGTGTTGCTCTGCGAGGCTGGGCGTCGACTGCATGACCATGTGCCGCACACTGCGCAAACTCTGTATGTAGACGACCGCAATGCTATCGTGCGTGGCGCTCATGCTGCAGCGCAAGTGTGGCAGTACTGGCTGGGCTGGACTAGACGTTTGGGGCTGGAGGAGAATGAGGCTAAGCTGAAAATTGTGCCCAAACGACCTTCCTTGCGGGAGGCAGTGCAGAGGGCTGGTTCTGATGCGGGGAGACTCGCCGTGCAGGGCTCTAGGCGTGGATTTCTTGCAGGAGAGCGTGGATGAGGAGCCCGCTACCGCTATGCAAAGATGGGAATCCGGCAGGAAGCTCATTGCCAGACTCGCTTCCGCTGGGCTTGCCGCGACGATCAAAGCTGATCTCGGCCGTACCAGGGTCACTCCTCGGGTGGCTTGGGGGCGGTGGATGACGACGCCGAGTTTTCGGGAAGCTTTCAAGCTGGGCACGGCTTTGAAGTTTGCTGTTCGCGCGCACACCACGGGATCGAGGGACCTTTTCCATCTGTTTCAAGGGCATTGGACGGACTTCAGGTTTGCTGGCATCCACGCTTCCTTTTGTGACCTTGCAAAGGCCCTCCGCTTCTGGCTGCAGGACGGTCATGCTTTCACAGGAGGACAATGGCTGTGCCGACTTAGGAGTGACCTGCACGACTTAGGTTGGACTCCAGTGCCCGGTGGCTTTCAACATGCGGCGGTGGGCCACATGCAGTGGCCGGGGCCGGTCGCTGCCAGGCCATTCAAGCGATGGTTGGGCGTGTCCTCGCACGCATTGCGTGAGAGCTGGAGACGTCAGAGGATGGAGGCCTTTTTGTCGAGGGATGGCGAGACAGCAGGCTTCTGGGGCGAGGCTGGCCTTACGATGAGGTGGTCATGCGCAAGGCGCGGCAGTAATATCAGTTTGTTGGTCAGGAGGCGCGGGGTTGCATGGCGGGCGCTGTTTTCTCTGTGGCGCGCTATCGCCGCGTGCGGGAGGAAGAGGTCGCAACTTGCCCTTTCTGCTCTTCAAGGGCTGTCCCGGATTGGGAGCATCTGGCATGGTCGTGCACGCATTTTGCAAACGGCAGGCCTACGGTCCCCATGGGGGAGCTGGCCACTCGAAGGCTGGGCTGGCCGCGGGCGCGCACTGCGGCTGCTGAGGACGCGGCGGTGCTCGAGCACTTGAGCAGGGTGCGGCAGGCTGCGCGTGAGCACAGCGGCTTTCGCCAGAGGGCAGGGGGGCGCTGAGCGCCCACTTCTGGCGTCGACCTCTTCAAGGGGCGCACGCCGTTCAAACCAACACACTCGAAAGCATTGTGCACACGGGCCGGGCAAATATCCAGTCGCCCTGTGCACCATCACATCTGTTGACCATCATGGTCTGCACATCTTGCACTGAGCATACCCAGCATACAATGCATCTTGCCGCGTTCTCTGCTCCACCTGGTTTGCTCCAAACAACTTCGGGCATCCTGCCCGATGGAATTTCTTTCCATGCTCATTTGCTATCCATACATCAGGATTCGGGGCTGTAGTGTTCGGTGCTGCCCCTGAAATCTCTGTGGCTGAAGGTGTGGCACGTGGGGCCACTGCAGATGCCAAAGGAAGAGCGGCTCCATGAGCCGCTGCAGCTGTAGAAGTGACTCCATGAGTCACCGTAGCTCCCTGCATAGAAGCCACCTGGTTGCGTAGCATCTGCATCTCATTGTTCATTGCCACCATCTGGTTCGAGGCAATCAGCATCATTTGCGTTGGTGTTCCCGGATTTCCGCCTGTACCATGCGTGCATGGCGATACATTCGCCTTTGGCGTAGCTGGACTGCGTCGTGCCTCGCCTTCGGGAGCGAAGCCACGGTAACGCAGCGGTTGGCCCTCACCAGAGCCATCGGCTACATTGCCGACTTGCACATTCACCCTCACTCCAGGAGGTACATCTTCACTTGACAGTCCCGGCTCATTTGTCACCGGGCCTTCATCTTCATCATGACCATCAAGCTTTGCATTCTTTGCTTTTGCCTTTGCTTTTGACCGTCTTTTGGTCGTCGCTGCTGGTTTGGCACGTTTCTTCACCACTGGCGAAACACTTCTCTCACCATCTGAATCCACATCGATGGGAGTGTCTCTCCCACTGCTTCTCACATACTTGGCCATTGTAACTGTCACCACTGCCTGTGCAATGACTGCTGTAGCGGTGGGATACGCTGTAAGCAGCTCATACAACAACAGTAAACACGTGTACAATAGCCTCACCACGAACTCAAAAACCGTGGCGGAAGTCACCACATTGCTGTCTGACCCATTGCCATCTGGTCCCAAGGCGCCGCCATTGTTTGCGTCCATTGCACGCATGCCACTCATCATCGTCATAAAGAGGATGCTCCGAATGGCCGTTGTCTGGACTGCTTTCTTCATTTGCTGCTGTATCTCGAATTCATCGCGCTCGTCCTGGCCCACCATTGAACCAGCGAACACGTTATATACATGCCAATGAGGTTTATCAGCACCAACATTCTGTTGCGGCTCATATGCTTTGTGTTCTGAGGCGTTGTACGCTGTGCTCACCTTCAAGCCCTTTTGTAAGCTTCTTTGCGAAGGCGATGTTCAAAGTCATTCAAAGTTCAAGAGAAGAGTCCAAGAGGGATTCACGGCCTGCGTGCCTGATGAACCATCAGGCCGGGACATCTGGAGAGGTTGGACCTTGTCCCCAAGCACATAATCCACATGCTGAGTGAAATCTTGTACTCCAAGATCAACGAACCAAGGCTTGGTGCGAAAACGTGCTGCGAGCATGAGAAATGTGCAGCACTCCAATCGCAGCCGCTGACGAAGCTCCTCGGAAGTCGAGGGGAGCTTGGCTTTCTTCCTCTCCTTCACAAGCAATCGGCCTGATGAATCCACAGATGATTGAAACTGAGCATTAACTTCATCAGAAACACTTGTCACCTCGTCGAGTACAGCAGCACGTAGCTCGCCTGCTTCCACCTCCTCTAGCTTGAGAGCAAGATAAGTGGAGCTGGGTTCATCTTTTTCCTCCAATGCTCCCCACAACACCTTCTAAGGCACGCCGCATGCCCATCCGATCATTCGAGGGCAGGAGCTTAGGCAAGCCGAGCACGTGTGCCTCGGCCTTCAACCGCCGCTCCTGGTCTGCCATATCACAGTAGGATTGCCACGCAGCCACTTGTGCGGCGATGGTGGCCCTTCCATCCAGGGCCGCCCCGGCATCAGCGTGTGTCTGCAATGGAAAACTTTCAGCCGGACTTCCACACGCGGATGCGACTTCCATGCACCGCTCTGTGACCTGAGGACATGAGCAAAAACAAGAGCATGGTTTCAATTCGAATTTAGAGCTTTTGCTATGGTTTCTGGCAGGGACATCCATGGTCAACTGCGATTTGGGAACAGAGCATCCATGTAAAACTTTCAAACCCAAACAAACAGGAACCAAACCCCAACTCCGCAGCAAGGTCTGCTTCGTTTTCGCTCGCACAACAAAGGTGTCTTAGACGTCTGTTAACTCGAAACCTCTGCACACAAGCCTCAGCTAAGCTTAAGCTCTCATCCTTGGCTTGCAACAAACTTTCACGTGGCTTCAGGGTCTTGAGCCATGCATATGCACGGCAAGCACGAACTCTTCTGCACAACATGTTCAGCATGAACATGTTCGAAAACAAAACTCAAAACTGGCTTCCAAAAGCATGTGGTTCACAAGTCTTTACATGAACA